CTCGTAAAGCATGCATTGCCGAATATGCTCTTCATCCGCCATCTTCTTAGCCCTAGTTTTGCAACAAAAACCAAACCAAACACAAACTTTTTCAAGCAAAACTTGTTCATTGCACTTCACACGTTCTGTAGATACCACGTGTTTGAAGGTTATGTCAATACAAGTCAACGCCAAGCAAGATTTTAAACGAATGATTAAAACGACATTAATTATTACTATCCCCCCCCCCCCCCCCCCCGCTCACGGCCGGGCCCCCTGGGCTTTGTGACTGGGGGCTGTTCTCTCGGGTGAGAGGCCCGTCCACACTGTGGAGGCCTCGGACGGCCCTGCCTCCGGGCTGTGCCCGGCCGCCTCGCCTCAGTCAGGGCTCAGGCTGGGAACTGTGTCCCCACGGGGGCTGTGAGCCTGTGTGTGTGAAGGTCCCTCCTCCGTCTCTCCTGGAGGGCTCAGGTCCGCCCGGCCGAGCTCCGCGCGCCGTCACCCTGAGCGCCAGCGTCAGCGCCGAGCGCCGTGCTCCAGGTGGAAGTGACCATGGACATCTCGGCCGGTGATGCGCGGGCAGGGCAGGAGGGGGCAGCGGGGACGGGGAGTGAACAGGGCCAGGGACGTCTTGGCCTGGAGACGGGGAAGGGGCAGCGGCACAGGCTGTCCTCACCCCGGAGGAAAGAGACCTGCTCAGGAAGCGGGGGGAGGGCCTGGGCTGCAGACTCCGCAGCTCAGGGGCTTCTCTGCCAGCTCGAGAGTCTGGGCCGCCTGTGGGACAAGAACAGGAGGGGTGGAGGGGGCAGGGCGGGCGGTAAGGTTCTCGGCTCAGACACCTTGTCAGCAACGCCAGGTCCAGCCGGCCAGAACTGCCTGCTCAGTGCGGATGAAACCGGCAGAAACCACACGAATCGCAATGCCAGTCATTTCCAACAGAAAGTCCATGGTTTTATTCCCCTGGCTGCACACGGGAGAGAACAGGTGGTTTCATCCAGGGCCCGGCTCCCCTCAGCTGCTCGGCCTGGACCAGGCCCCAGCCCCTCCTCCTGCCCTCCCTCGTCTATTTCTGGAAGCTTCTCACGGAGCCTTTGGGATGCCCTGGCCTGGGCTCCGATGGTGGGAAGCCTGCTCTGGGCCGGGTCCCCTCCCTGCTGGCTCCCTGGCTGTGGCCTCGATCTGTGGGTGCCAAGCTCTGCTCTCGGAGGGGGCCCGGGCAGGGCCAGGCCCCAGGCACCCAGAGAGCTTTGCTGAATGAAGCAGCAAGTGGCCCACAGCTCCTTGCGATCTTCGGGGGGGGGCTTCTGGACGCCCGCAGAGAGAGGTGCTGGCCTGGTCTTTTGCTGTCTGACTGCGGCCCCGCCTCCCCGGGGAGCGGGAGGGGCTGGCCCAGGGCAGGGGGAGAGGACTGCTGGGCAGAGAGCAGAGGGGCGGCAGGGGAGCGCCCCTGAGGACGCCACGCTGCGGGGAGGGTCCTTGGGGGGGACGGGACCTCCTGGCCCTCCCAGCCCCCAGCACCCTCCTCTGGAGCCCTGACAGCACCCAGCTCCAAGCCGGACAGACTCCACGCGGGCTGGGCTCCTCCCTCTCCTGCCCCTCCTCGCAGCCCTGCTCCCACCCTGTCCCCTGGCCCCCCTCCCAGCCCCAGCGCCCTCCGCGGATCCTTGCTATTCTCTGCACACCCCCCTCGGAAAGAGGCCGATGGAGACTGAGGAGCCGTCGGAGGCAGAAGAGCTCTCAGCCAGCTCTCTCTCCCAAACGCTTTGGCCTGGGGCGAGGGGGTGGGGAGAACAGCTGTTCATCCTCCGGAGGAGTCGTGCTCCCCTCTTCGGCCCCCATGGGCGTGGGGAGGAGGTGCAGCCTGAGGGGCCCCCCCGAGGCGGGCAGGAGGGGGCCCCAATCTCTTCGAAGCTTGGCCCCAGACCCCCACCCCGCCCACAGCCCCTCGGGACCCTGCCTCAGGAGGTGAGTTTCTCAAAGAGAGAACCAGTCTCCCGGGGTCAGATCTCGGGGGCAGGGCCAGGAACCTGGTCCTGGGCGGCTGCCACACGTACCCCTCTGCCCCGTAGAACCCACGGGGGCGGGACGGGGCTGCCCAGACGGTGGTCACTGCACGCCGAGGGACTGGTGGCCTGTGGCCAGGAGCCCGCTCCCCGTGAGGATCCGCAGGAGGCGCTCACGGCGCGCTCCTGCCCCCACTGCCCCCACCGCGCTGGCACCGCGCGGGGTGCCCTGAGGCGGCTCCTGTGGTCCTTCGCAGGCCCTGCCGGCCCTGCCCCCTCCGCCACGCTAGCGTGTTGCCTCTGCAGCCCTGACCTGGCCTCGCTGGGCAGCCTGAGGCCCTGGAGGGAGAAGCAGCGACCTGGAGAGGCAGACATTGCAGGCGAGGGCGCTCCCGCTGGCCACCAGGTGGCGCCATTGACACAGGACAACCAGGGGAGGGGAAGGGGGCACCATCCCCATAGGACCTTCCGGACTTTGGCGCCTGCCTCACCCCCACCCCAGGACCTCCCGGGACTGGCCTCCTGGCCGGTGCTTGTCTCAGTGCCGTTTACCAGGGCCTGACCCATGCGCGGGGAACACGGAGGCCATGTTAGTGCTGTCAGGTCGTCAGGATTGTTCTTGGTGAGGCAGAGGCTGGGGAGGGTGCCCTGGGCCTCACTGCTCCCCAAACCAGTTAGCAAGAAAGCCTAACCCCGGGGGTGTGGCCAGTGGTCCCCGCCGGGACCCAAGCAGGCCACTCACTGTCTCCCTGCAGGAGGAAGGCTGTCAGCCCGCCCTGGGGGAGGGATCGCGGGGACTGCAGGGACCGGCTGCTGAAAGGGCTGTGGCGGGAGCCCAAGTCCTTGTCCCGCTGCCTCCTCGCTGTGTGGCTTCGGGCAGGTGGCTTCCACTCTCTGAACTTCCGCTTCTTCATCTGTAAAATCGGGGCAGTCACACCTGGTGCAGGAAGGGGGTCCCGAAGCAAGCCTGCATGCTGCCAGGAGGGGGGACTGCCCCCCACCGCCCTCTCCGTGCAGGGGGCTTGAGGGAGAGGCCGGAGGGGGCCGGGGCGGGGGACCCCGGGACCGGAGGAGCGGGATGCTGTGGGTCAGGCACTGGGGCTGCTGTGAGGAGCCCCTCCACGTGGGGGGCTCCTCCTGGCGCTGGAGCCTGAGGGGAGGAAGGAGGGTCTTCCCACAGCCGGAGGAGGGAAGAGAGGGGTCCCGTTCCCGGCACTTCTGCTTCCTGGGCGTCTGCTGCCCACAGTGCATTCTGGGAGGAACTCCAGAGAAGGTGGGCAGTTCCTGGGCAACGGAACCCAATTGCAGCCAGGCCAGGCCTCCCGCTCGCCTGCTTCCCCCAGCTCTCCTGCTCTCCCGCTCCCCCCCCACCCCGCCCCAGGGCAGGTGAAAATCCTGGGGCGGCTGTTTTCCCCTCCTAGACAGGGAGCACTCTGAGGGCACCGCTGTGACATGTTTTGCACTTCCACTGCTGGCACACAGTAGGTACTTAATAAGCGTATGTGGGAACTGAACTGAGCACGGAGGTCTGCCCTCCCCTGAAGCCAGTGGGAGCCCACTCTGTGCCAGGCTTGGTGCTGGGCACCCCCCTCCGCAGCCAGCCTGGGGGGGCCTTATCCCCTGACGCCACTCACCACCCGGCCACACACCCACCGTGTTTACTGAGCACCTACTAGGTGCGGCTCTGAGCTCTGCACAGGGGCAGAGGCAGGTGGCAATGCCCAGGGCTGCAGGGCTGCAGAGAGCGTGGCTGCAGAGTGAGGGGCAGGATCAGAGCTGGCGCCCCTGGCGCTGTTCTGAGGCAGCCGGGCATGCAGCCACCTCCTGATGCCAGGCCCTGAAGAGGCTCCGGAGGCGCAGACGGAGCCTCCCGAACGCTCCCTCCGCGGGGCATCGCGCGTCTCTCCCCGCGGCGTGAGGTGCTCAGACAGTGGCTCCCCACGGGAGCTGGGCGCAGCGGGAAGCAGATGATCTGTGTCTCCCCGTGACACCCCCGCCATGCATCACTGTGATGGAGCGGCAGCCAGTACCGCCCCCGCCCCCCATGGCCCCCCCGGCAGGAACGGTGCGTTCACACGTCTTCCTCACCTGGTGGGCGTCCGCTCCCCCCTCCCCATCCCGTTGGTGGGAAAGCCTGTAGCTTTCATCGCTCCCGTGCACAGCGTGTGTGGGGGAGGGGAGCGTGCGGCGGGAGGTGGGGGCGGGCTCCCGCTTCACACAGCCAGACCTGCCCTGGTCTCGGGCAAGCCGCTTGGCCTCTGGGGGCACGGTGTCCCCTTTGTGTGGTTGGCATCGCGGTTAATGGAGAGAGAGGTGAAGTGCCGGCAGGTGGGGAAACCCAGCCTCCTTGGCCCTGCTTCCTCCCAGCGCCAGCACCTGGCTCCTCCCCACCTCCCACCCCTTCCCTCTGCCCCCCAGGCCCCCCCAGCTCAGCCTGGGGCTGGGCTCCGGGGTCCAAGGGGAACAGGTCCCGTGTCTGTGCTGCTGGCAGTGAGGACGGGCTGTCTCCGGACCGGATGGGGAAGCCGTGCCCGTGTCTCCGGGGGGAAGGGGAGCTGCAGGGGGGCGGGCTGAGAGGCACCCCCCGGGCCTCTGTGGGGACGGGTGGCCCCTGCTGGTTAACGACCTGCCCCATGTGTGGGGCTGGGAACGGTGGCTCCTGCCCCACCCCAACTGCCTGCCCCTCCTCCATCACCACCTGCCCCTCTGGGACCCCCCCCAGCCCTGCTCTCTGATGAGATCACTGTGGGGCTCCTGGGCTGCTGCCAAGCGGAGGGTTTGGGACACGGGCACCTCTAAGCAGTTTGAGGAGTGAGCGGCTCACCAAGCTCTGGGGCTACCACGGGCACCTGTGTCCCCTCAGGGACAGCGTCTCCCGGACCCGCCTGGCCGGTTGGGAGGCTGAGGCCGGAGCCCACCTGCGGCCCCCCTGGCGCCGGGCCGGGGAGGGGCTGTTCCCACTGCCGGAGCAGGAAGTTGGGGTCACGGAGTGGAGCAGGCACGTGGGCCTGGAGGAAGCCGAGGGTGGCCAGGGAGGGGCCTGGTGGGGACAGGAAGGGGAACTGTGGCTGCCAGCGCTGTCCTGTCTGGGAACTAAGGCGGAAGGAGAGCCACTGCCAGGAGGCCCCATGGAGAGCCAGCCTCGGCGGCGGTGGGCCCCGCGCGCGGCCCCCTGGCTCCTGGGCCTGCTCCTGAGCCCCTGGGCCCTGCGGCTCACAGGTACCGTCCTCCCCCGGCCCCACATCAGAGCCGCTTCACCCCGCCGCCAATCTGTCTCCTCGGGGCCCTGCGGCCTTTGAACACTGCGCCTGCACGGGGCAGCGTGGGACCGGGCTGTTTAGCTGATGCCGTGCAAGGTGGCAGGGGCGGGGGCGGGGGAGGGCCCGCCGCCCTCCATGCTGACAGCTCCTCCCGGCACCGCCTGGCCTCCGGCCCTCAGACAGGGTGGGCGGCGCGGCTGTGCCAGCGGCCACGGGCTTGGGGTGGGTGCAGGGGTGAGGGTCCCAGGGTGGAAGGTAGAAGCAGGACACTGAGCCTGTCCAGAGGCAGAGCCGCCTTGGTGTTGGTGTTGCCGTGTCAGCCAGCGAGGGGAGGGGAGGGAGGCTGTAACCTGGAGCTCAAAACTGTCACTGTCACCAGGATGGATGGCGCCACCCCTTCCTGAAACACGTCGTTATTTACCCGGGAGCCAGGCCTCTCCCGGGCCAGCACCGTCCCTCCTGGTCCCAGGCCGGCTTGGAAGCTGGGTGGCCTGGGTCCAAGGCAGGACCCGGGTGGGTGGCCTTGGGGTGAGCTCATCCAGGCCAGGGAACCCCCAGGATGTGCCCACACTGGGGTCCCTCGTGCTCAGGGCAGCAGCTCTCCCCCTTCTCCTGACCTCCATGAGGCCAGGCCCCCCCCACGCCCCCGTCCCCTCCGCCTGAGCCGCTGTTGTTACCAGGAGTCGGCCTCTCTGAGCTCAGCGCCCCTCGAGGCGCCGTGGGGTGCTGTCCCTCCGGCACCACTTAGGGGCCGGGAACGGAGACTCAGGGCCCGGGAGGCCGGGAACGTGTCCGAGGTTAGAGGGCGAGTAGAGGTCAGGTTCAGGGCTGGGTCAGCCCGAGCCCCGAGCTAGGACCCCAGGCAGTGGGCTCTGGGGTTCCACTCGCCTTTCTTTATAAAGAACTTTCTTCAAGGAAAGGAAAAATCTCCCCTCCTACCGCCAGGGCGGCCAGAGCAGAATGTGTGGTGCCTGCCTTCCCGCAGGCCCGGCCTGAGACAGGCCTGACCACCTGAGGCTCCCGCCCGGAGCCGGCGGGCAGAGACCAGCTGAGGAGCCGCGTGTGGGGGACTCTGCCTTTGAACTCTCACGTAGTCATTGTTAGCGTGATTTCCCCAAATTCCCATCGTTTCTGTTTGTGGGCCCCCCCCCCCCCAAAGGGCCCTGACGCAGCCGGGAGCCTGCGCGGAGGAGACTGCGGTGTGAGGTGGTTTTGTAACATCTCGGTCCTTGTGTTGCCGTAAATCAGGAAAAGAGAAATGCTCTTTCACAAGAGGGGAAACCACCTGTGTCTCCCAGGCCGTCTGGGGGGGCAGGCAGCACCCCGTTCTCCTGGCCCCGCCCCTGCAGTCCTGTCCCACATCCCCTCGCCCCCCAGACTCCAGCCAGCAGCCTGGTGCAGGCAGCTCCGTCAGCGCCGCAGACCCTGCCCGCACCCCTCACTCGGGCCCGGGGAGTGTGGTCAGGGAGCCAGGGGGAGGCAGGGTTGAGGCTCGGGACCCGGGGCGAGCAGCCTGCGTTTGAGTCAGCTCTGCAACTCACCCTGGGACCCGGGGCAGGTTCTTAATGCCGTGGTGCCTCAGTTGCCCTATCTGGTAAATGGGTGTGATAGTAGTGCCTGCCTGCCAGCACATCCTGAGAGCAAGTGGTCAGGGCACATGGTTGGGGCTCAGAGAGTCAGCGCCCACCAGCCTAGCAGAGCCAACCAAAACCCAAGATTCAGGTGATAGGTGACAGGCTCAGCATCCGGGTGAGCCCCGGCCCCTTGGGGTCTCTGACACACCCTGTTAGCATCTGAGCTTCTCCTGCTCCATTTTCTCCGGCAGCGCCTGTGGTCTCAGGGGCCACTGCTCTCCTGAGCCTGGACACAGGCCTCAGCTGCCCCCAAGGGCCTTGGGGCCAGGCGGGCCAGGGGCAAGTCCTGCCTTCCTTCACCGACTGCTGTGTGAGCTCAGGCAAGGCACTTAACCTCTCTGAGCCTCAGTGTCCCCAACAAATGTCAGTCCTGGCCATTCCCGGGCCCTGGGCGGTGTTATTCCTCCAATATCCATTGAGGAGGACCCGTTCTAGGCACTGGGGGCACCAGGAGGGAACAGGGCACAACCCCGCTCTCAGCCTGGGGACACGGACTCTCCTGGAGGTACCCGGGGTGGGTGCCCCGGCCTCCGTTTGCGCTGGACTCCGGTCCTTTCTCCCCCCGGCCTCCACCTGCGTCTAATCCCAGCACAGCTTTGGAGGCTGGCAGAGAGCCTGCTCCGCTGGGGAGTGCGGGGAGGGGCGGAGGGGGGGGGTGAGATGGGGAGGAGAGAGCGAGGGGCGGGGGGCGGGCAGGCCCCGCAGGGATCAAGGCCGGGAGGCCAGAGGCAGAGCCGGAGGTTTGACCTGCGGGAGCCTCGGGGGCAGAGCGGTGGGATGGATCCCGCTGGGCAGCCGTTCCCGGCGGATTACAAACGCCCGCCAGGCAGGGTTCAGACAGTCCTGCTTTCTCTTTAAAGTGTGACATGGGATGCGCATACAGAAAAGCACAGCACACCTTTAAACCAAGGCTGTGTGCCCACAGGGCCAGGGAGGGGAACACGCGTGCCTCTGAGCCCCGGGCCCCAGCCCCACCCGCCCCTTCGCTGTGTCCCTGCGCGACGGCCCTGCCGCTTTGGCCTCGGCCGGGTGCTCAGTGGCGGCTCCTCTCATTCGGGTGAGACTTTGAAGATCTCTCAGTGGCTGGTGTGGCCGGTGCTGGTTCATTCTCTTTGCCAAAGAGCCGGGTGTGGACACGGCCCAGGTCTGGCCCCGAGTTATGAATGGCTCTTAGATTTTCAAAAAATATTTTGTTATTGATTTCAGAGAGGAAGGGAGAGGAAGGAGGAGGAAGGAGAGGAAGAGAGAGATAGAAACATCCAGGATCAGAGAATCATTGGTCGGCTGCCTCCTGCACGCCCCACACCGGGGACTGAGCCGACACCCCGGGCCTGTGTCCTGACCGGGAATCCATCAATGACCTCCTGGATCACAGGTCGATGCTCAACCCCTGAGCCACTCCGGCCGGCAGTTCTTAGATTTATTTTTAATGGTTGAAGGGGGAGGGTGTGTTGGAAATCAAAAGAGGAATATTTCACAATACGTGAAAATTACACTGTATGCCAAGACCGGTTTGGCTCAATGGATAGAGCGTTGGCTTGGGGACTGAAAGGTCCCGGGTTCGATTCTGGTCAAGGGCATGTACCTTGGTTGTGGGCATATCCCCAGTAGGGGGTGTGCAAGAGGCAGCTGATCGATGTCTATCTCTCATTGATGTTTCTAACTCTCTCTCTCCCTTCCTCTCTGTACAAAATCAATAAAATATATTTTTAAAAAAAAGAAAAGAAAAAAAGGGGAAAATTACACTGTAGGCACATTTCCGGGTCAGTAAATAAAGTTTTATTGGAACAGAGCCACCCACAGCGTTCGTAGATCACCCAGGGCTGCTGGCGCCCTGCTCGGAGTCACGTCTTTGCAGTAGAGACCACATGGCCCGCGCAGCGTGAACTGTCCCTGGCCCTGTGCGAACGGCTGTCGGCGCTGGCGGGGAGGCCACTGGACGGCTGTGCCCGTCTGTGTGGCTAAGGGCCACGTCTCAGTGCTCCCGGGGCTGGGATGTGCGTGTGGTCTCCGCGCTCATGGGTGTGCGGTGCCTCCAGGACACGCTCCCTCTGGGCTGCTCTCTCAGCTGCCCGCCTCCTGGCGGCCGGGGAGCTCCCAGAGGGCAGGTGCCCACAGGCCCTGGCCCGGGGACAGGTGTGGTGACAGGACCATTGCGGCGCCTGAGCCACAGCCGCCCCCGCCCCGGGTTCCAAGCGGGTGATGGATGCCACCAGGGGAGGCGCCCGGGCCGGGTGGTGCTGGTGTGAGCCCCCGGCCCCTGAGCCTTAGGCTCCGCTGGGCACAGGTGGAGAGACCGACCCAGTGTCTGGTGACGGGGAGAGGACGCAGGAGGGCTGGGCAAATGGACCTGGAGCGGGATCTGCCTCTCGCCTGCTCCCTCGGACCCTCCTCCGGCTCCTGCTCTCAGGTCTGGGAGTGTGGGTGGCAGGCCCTGGGGCGGGAGGGGCGGCTGGAATAAGCTGCGAGGGGGAGGGGCAGGGGGATGTGAGATTGGCAGGCCACGCGGATGGTGAGCACAGTCTGCCCAGCCTGGGTTTGGGTACGAGCCTGGGTCTGGGTTCAGGGAGACGGTGGCAAAGTCACCTGACTTCCCGGTGCCCAGTCCCTCCCACGGGCCTCTGGCCAGCAGCCTGGGGCGGCGCTGTAGGAGCCTCTCCTCAGGGCGGGCGGGGCGGGGTTGGGGGGTGCCTAGGGCTGGGGAGAAGGCAGTGAGGGGGCCTGGCCCCCCCCATGGGTGGGCTGCGGCGGGGGAAGGGGGGGCCAGAGCTGGAGCCCCTCGGAGCCCTGGGCCAGGCCCCTGCAGGTGGGCCAGGGGGAGGGGACCCTGCAGGAGCCAGCACTGCCCAAAGCCCAGGGCGGGCGTGTCCCCTCACAGCCCTCGGCCTAGGGCCAAGGGCAGGAGTCTGCAGCCCTTGGCAGCACGCGTGGAAATGTAAGGCCTGCAAACCCTGTGACTCAGCGCCTCCCCTCCCGACCCAGGGGCAGCCATAGCCACAGGGCGGTCCCCGTGGGTCCGTGCGGCCACAGGCAGCGCCACACCCTCCTCGGACCCTGGCAGCAGCCCCCCTCCCACCCCCACTTCTTTTATAATTAATTTCAGAGAGGAAGGGAGAGGGACAGAGATAGAAACATCGATGAGAGAGAATCATTGATGGGCTGCCTCCTGCACACCCCCTACTGGGGATGGAGCCTGCAACCCAGGCACATGCCCTTGATCGGAATCGAACCTGGGGACCCTTCAGTCCGCAGGCCGACGCTCTATCCACTGAACCACACTGACTAGGGCCCGCCCCCACTTCCGAGCCTCTGGACAACTGTGCTC